AAAAAAAAAAAAAAAAAAAAAAAAAAAAAATGTAATTCTTTAAGATTATCATTACTTTTGCATTGATACTATATTTGTGTGTCTTTAAAGTGAAGTGTGACAGCTGACTGACACATTTCACCACTCACACAGGTCCAGACTGTTATCCACTAGGAGAGTTTTAGGGAGAAAATAAGTCTACGTAACTGCATAGGAAATATACAGTCATTACCTATACTCATCAATCAATCAATCAATCAATCAACCTAGCCCTGCATTAATAGGAATTAACACCCAAATATCCAAAATCAACTGAACAATAGTAATGTAATGATGCCAAAAGTAAGCAGATGACCCTGAAGAAAACAGTAATTCAAGGAAAAGAAGACCACCTTGGAATTTTTGGAATTTAAGGTTTAGGGCTATTGCAGCCAAGAAACAAGAACAGATCACTAAAATAAAGAGGAAGTCAGGGGAAAGGAGATGCCTCAGCAAATTAACAATACAGCTGTTAATTTTTTTTTAATTAATGAAAGGCAGAAGTATTGATACCACCATGAATATACGATGGTATTATGGTATTACAGTCAGTTACGGATATAAAAAAATGAAGTGGAAAGGACAGCCACAGATACACACAAAACCAAGCCCGGAATAACAAGAGAACATTTAAGAGATACTGAGGTTCAATCCAAACAATGCAACAATCATCTAACGGGAGTTCCAGAAGGAGATAAGTGACAAAAGGAAGGGAATAAATACTGGTTTTAAATGTTAGAAGGCAATATGCAGAACCTGAAGAATGAATGAGCTCTCATATTGAAAGAGCTCTTTTAGCGGTGACTAGGATGAATGTTTTCAAAAGGTAAAACTGGTGAAATTGCAAGGTTCCGACAATAAACATAAAGTTCAAAAAACTTCCACATTTGTATATAAAGGAACTCATTCCTCATGGCTGGAGATACTGTGCTTCCCACAGACCAACAGTACACGAGAGAAGATAATGAACGAGTAGCTCCAAAATTCTGGAGGCAAATTATTCTGAGCATGGGATTCAGTGTGCAAAATACATTAAGAAAAGAGGAGTGTAATCTACATATCTATCTTTTAAATTTCTGAATTTATATCTTCACTAGGTAAGTACACGGGGTCAGATTCACATGCCTAAGATAAATGCAAAATTACCTTATGACACTTATAATGTTAAATCTTCGTTAAGAAAATGAAATGGAAACTTTAGGTGATTTTCTATTAATGTACGTAAATGATGACAAAGAAAGAAACAGCGTAGGAGAGGACATGTGGTGGTGGTGGGGGGGGAGACAGAGAGAGAGAGAGGCCTATAGAGACAGGGGAAGTGAAGGAGGGGGAGACATTGAGAGAGACAGACCAGGGCTGACAGATACTTTGGGCAAGAGAAGGAGGGAGGGATGAATTGGTATTTATGCTGTCAAATTCAGATAGGAAATTTTAAAAGTTTAGGTACTTTTCTAAGAAACTTCCAAGTCTACTTGCAGAAGCAGATGCTGATTTTTTTTTTTTTTTTTTTTTTTTTTTTTTTTTTTTAGGAAGAAAGTCTGTGAAGATGTTTATTAGGCCTGATAGACCTGTAAACTTACCATATTTTTTTTAAAACGCTAGATTTATGTATTTTTTATGAAGAACAATCTGAATTTTGTAATGCCAGGCTTTCACTGACTTCCAGGTGCTGCGCTTCTATGGACAGCACAAAGACCTCTGCTCCCTAGAATGTATGGATTTCTTTTCAACCACTCTCCCTGTTGCACACCCATTCTCTATTCACTTCAGAACTGGGGCTTCAGCAGCAAGACTGGAAGGGAGAAGAGGAAGGTGGGCAGGGGGAAGAGCCCCGGGGGAGCATTCCCTTTATTTACCACAAATATGGTCCTTTCTCTGTCTTTGCTGGAGTTAAACACCGGTTTCCTGCACCTGCACGTTATGGAGAAGTAACAGATCTTTCGTTTCTTTTTGTACTTAAAGCCCCAATGAGTAAGTGTCCACTTTATACTTCCCTTTAGGGTCTGTGGGAAGACCACTGTTTCTATGCATCTAGGAGTCCTAAGTTTTTGGAAACCTAAAGACACACTGAATGCACTTTCTTCAGTACCTGCAGGATTCGGAGAAGCTATAGTTAGTTAACTGTTTTGCAATTTGCTAGGGAAGAGCAAAAATCTTAGCCTGAAGTAGTTGGAAACAGAAATAAGAAAGGATGCATGTAGGTCAAGTTGTTAGGATTCTCTGAAGACGATCTGGGACATACATGTGAAATGACTTAGGGAATTTAAACCAGCAGGGTAAACCTTTTCTTTCATAGGCACCTTGGCCAGGACTCACATGGCTGAAGCCCTTGCTTCAAGTTGTGGGTGTTACCTTGACTCAACTACAGCAACAGAAAATCTCACTTCCAAAAAGGTACGGGTTTCAGCTAGATTGAAAGTTCGATCAGCACAGAACTCAAAATGCACTGCCTCAGGTATATAATTATGTACAACAGAAGATTCTAGAACTGTACTGCTCAGTACATTAGCTGCAAGCCATATGTGATGATTTAGATTTAAATTAATTAAGATTAAACAAAATTAAAATTTCAGTTCCTTACACTAGCTACACATTGGACACACTCTAGCTACCCATATTGGACAGCACAGAATTAGATCATTTATTTCCATCACTAGAAAGTTCTCAAGGACACTGCTATTCTAGGGCATTATTAACACAAATGCAAAGGTTAACCTGGAAATGTGAGCTACCCTGGCAACTACCCAGTGTGATGAATATATCTAAGAGAAGACTGGACTTACAGAAAACCTAAAGTAACTCAAAGTGGAGGGTGCCTTCAACCAAGCCTCCTACCCAAATATCCTTGAAGTTTTAATTTATGTCATTATTGATATTACAATTAAACAGATAAGAAATGTAAATCAGAGTGATTAACTAACTTGCCCCAGGCAACTCTCTGTAACTGCAGAAGAATATCCAGTTTCTTTTTTCTACAGACTAATTATCCCCCAAATTTGAGAATCCTATTTGCATAGAGCCTAATATAGGATCTTGCACAGAGAATGTATCCAGTAAGTATTTGTTGCATCAATAATGCAGTTATTGATTTCAGTGATGCAATGAGTGAATAAATAAATGAGTGGTAAGGCAGAGCTAGCAGCAAAACCGTCCTAGCAATAAGAGAACATGACTAACACCATCAGAAGTAAAATTTGTGGCCATGGAATTGCTAAGAGTAAGCTGGAATTTCAACTAGCCATTTCTCAGAAAACATGTGATGCTTCCCTTATGGTTTTTTGAATCACTCTCTTGCCCACTTAATTAATGTTGGCATCTTTCACTTTTTACCATTTTAATTTGAACATAAAGGCTACCCTACTCACTCTCCCACTCCAACCTCCATTTAAAATTAACTACCCGAACTTGCTTAGAATACTTTGGGCCCACTTCTCTGGGGCTCCTTTGCCTGTCCACAGAATTTCCATTCAGTGTTAGATTTAAGTAAAGGCTCTGTGTATCCCATCTATAAAGATTTGCTCCATTACCAAGTAAGATATTCTCCAACTCAACCAAGAAGGAATAAAAAAGTGTTGAGGGAGGCTGCTGTAGGAGAAGGAATGATCGCTTAAGTTTCAAAGTTGTAAAATTTGCACTCTTCTGTCTGCTTTAGTTTTCTCTAAAAGAGAATGGCCAACTTTTTCTAATATTTTTTTCACGTTCTCCCCATCGCCCCTAAATCAAAGCAAAACTTTTGAGCCAAGTTCATTACTTACAGGAGATTCGCTGACTCCAAAGATGTCTCTGACATCCCTAACAGATTGCTTGTTCTTTTTTCTCATGGTTTGAGTGTAAGTATTGTATCTCTTTTTCACTGCAGCTGCTTGGGTTCGAGTCAGCGTAGAGAGCAAGGCTTTGCCATCCTCCTCTTCATTACCCGAGATCAAGGTTGATAAACCCACATCTTGCAACCACTCTGCTTCGAGTTCTCCTTCTGTCAAATAACATTACCAAGGAAAGGTCAGAACATTCTCCATTTAATTAGATGGCATGTATATCTATAGGCCTGTGCATATCAGTGAATAAATAGTAAACACTATATTAAGACCAATCTTGGACCCTGAGGGCAAGTTAGGTGAAATAAATCAGACAAAGACAAACACCATATGATACCACTTCTATGTGAAATGTTTAAAACACACACACACACACACACACACACACACACACACACACACACACGCAAGCTCACAGATACAGAGGTAGGTGAAATGAGTGAAGGGAGCAAAAGGTACAAACTCCCAGTTATAAAATAAAAAAGTCATGAGGATGTCATGTACAGCATGGTGACAATAATAGTTAATAATACTGTACTGCATATTTGAAAGTTGCTAAGACAGATCTTAAACATTGTCATTGTAAGAAAAAAAAATTCTGTAACTATGGTGATGGATATAAACAAGACTTATTGTGGTGATCACTCTGCAATGTATACAGATATCAAATCATTATGTTGTACACCTGAAACTAATGTTATATGTCGACTATACCTCAATTAAAAAAAAAACACCATCCTTTTTTCCAGGGTAATTGTGGGAAAGGCCTACAGGAATTAATGAAAAGTCTGTATGACATTTTTTAAGTAAGTCAAATTTTAAAGTATTTTCTGAGAGAGTAAGGTTAATTGGCCTATTTAGTAAGGTAATTTTCCTTGCCAGAAAGTTAAATCTAAGCCATATCTGGACTTCCAATTTCAAACAATGATAAAATTATAAAAACTAAAACCATAATAGAATAAGAATGGCTTAGTGGGGTAGGAAAAGGTTTTTCAATCACTCAAATGCTGGTTCAAATCCCAATGACACCATTTACTAGGCAAACAGCTTTGGAAAGTTTTTAGATATCTCTAGGCTTCTGTTTTGTTGGCAAAATGGAGGTAACAAGATGTACTAGGTGGCTATGATGATTGTTGTATCAATTTATTCATGATAGATGGCAAAGAATCTGGAACAGAGCATGAATTCAATAGATACTCATTCTCTTTTCTACATAGTCTGAACATTAGGTAAGTAATCTTTCCTTTTTTTCAGAAGTCAATTAAAAAGTTTAAAATTCATCATAATGACGGTTAACTGATATTGAAAATTACATGTGCAGAAATAAAAAAAATTAAGAATAACAACATCATGGAACAGAAAATCCACTACAGATACATTTCCGGGAACTATGCTAAACAGGCATTACCTGAATTGAGATTTGTTTAAAGAGCAGATCAAACTGATTTGCAAATAGCCTGTCAAATCATCAGTCTAAGAGGCTTGGACCCTGCTCACATTATTGTATCACATAAACAAAGCCTTCTAAATGCACTTTACAGGAACTTCTCAGCGAGGCAATTTTTTTTTTTTTTTTTTTTTTTTTTTTTTTTGGTTATTTTGTGTGTGTGTGTGTGTGTGTGTGTGTGTGTGTATGTTTATTCATTTGCTTTATAAGTTATCCCTTTAACAGAAAATGCAAAGGTAAACATAAACTTAGCAGCTCTGATCCAAAATAATAAACATTTTAAATTAGTCAGTTATGACTTGGAAATTGTCTTTTACTTAGGCCACAGATAAGATTTTCATTTTTTTAAGACAAAATTTACAAATATAGTTCAATATGAAAGTTTTAGAATTTGGATTTTTTCCCCTCCAACTCTGTAAGCAGTAATGAAAGAGTAGATGGAAGGAGTTAGAATTAACAGACACTGGGGTGAAGATGATCTAAATCCTTGGACTCAGACTACAGAATCTGCAGAACATATATTTTCCACAGGAAAGAAATGTCTTCGAAATCAATATTACTCCTGTAACATTGCTGAATTATGGAATCACAACCCTGTGCTCATTCCTCCAGTTACCAAATGTATAACTTTCACATAGAATACTCCTTTGAATTTCAGCTACATCTATCTATTCAACTACCTACTCAACAGTTACTTGACTCTATCAGTCGCACACCACACTCAACAAGTTCAAACCTGAACACATATTCTTCGTTCCCAACTCTAGGCCTCTTTCAGTATTCCACATTTCAGTAAGTGAAACCCACCGTCCATCTAATTTAGCAAAGTAACTAACCTAGGACATGTTGTTGACATCTCCCTCCTTTACACACAAATCCAATATGTCACCAAGTCCTTTTTTTTAATATTTATTTATTTTTGAGAGAGAAAGCGCAAGCAGGGGAAGGGCAGAGAGAGGAGGGGGACAGAGTGGGTTCTGCTCTGAGCACAGAGAGCCCAATATGGGGCTTGAACTCACAAACCTTGACCCGAGCCAAAGTCGGATGCTCAACCAAACGAGCCACCCAGGCATTCCTATAATCAAGTCCTTTTGATATTAATTCCTTATTATTTCTCAAAAATTTCCACTTTTATTTGTCTTCTGCTCTGACCTTGGCCCAAACTACCATCATCTCTCACCTGAACTACTGCAGTTGCCTCCCAGTTTTTCTTCCCATTCTTGATTCACCCCTCCAATCCATGATCCATATTGTAACTAAATCAGACCTTTCCAAATGCAAATAGAAGCCCTTTCCTGAAAGGTCACAGTTCTTCCTTGCTCTTGGGATTAAGAATAAAACACTTGGGCCGCCTGGGTGGCTCAGTCAGTTAAGCATCTGACACTTAATCTCAGCTCCTGTCTTGATCTCAGGGTTGTGAGTTCAAGCCCTGCACTGGGCTCCGCACAGGGAGTGAAGCCTACCTTTAAAAAAATAAAAAAATAAGCAAAATAAATAAAATCCTTCACACGGCCCACAGGACATGAAGCTGTTGACCTTTCCGGCCACAGCGTGTACCATGCTCTCTTCATTCTCCCCTCACTGACAGTACTTGTCTATGTTTGGTTCCTCAAAAGCCCCAAAAAGCCCCATTATATATTTTGTTACAAGGCCTTTGGACATGCCAACCCTTCTATTTGGACTCCTAATAATTGTCCATTCAATCTTTTAGATCTCAATTTATATATTTCTTTCTCAATGAAGTCTTTTTTTCCTGAATCCTTCAATTAGTCGGGCCCACTGTTACCCATCCTAATCCTGCTGTGTGTCTTTTTCTTCAGATAACTTTTCTCCCAACAGACATCTAGTTATATCATTTCATTAGTTATTTTTTTCCTCCTAGGTTATAAGCTCCATTAGAGCAGGGCATTTCTGCCTTTGTTTATAACTCTAACACCAACATTTTGCAATGCCTGTGAGAAGCAGGTACATATATTTGTTGAATTAATTAAATCCCAGTTGAAATATTTAATTATTCTAAGTGAGAAAATGAAGAATGCAAAACATCAACTTTCAAAACTGAATGTAGCTGTCACACATACCATTCTGTACTAAAAATCCACCTAGTTAGTAACTTTGTTAGAGAAAGATACCAAAAAGGGAATGAAATTTTCTAGTAAAATAGAGTAGCTCGTAGAGAAATAACAGTTCTGCGTATAACAGTTATGAACTCTGAACTAAGTACATAAAATAACTATTTGAGGGTAATGGAGAAGAACCAAGTGTAGGCAGAAACTGAAAAATAATTAAATTTTGATACAAGAAAATGTACTGTGTGAGATTTGTATCTATACAACTTTTCAACGGAGTCCTTTCCCAATCCCTACATTACACCAGGGGTAGAACACAACTGAAAACCACAGTCTTATTTATTTGAAGAGTCAGGGGATGCAATAAGGGATTATTACTAGGACGGCTGGAAAGTGAGGGGCACATTCCTGTTAGGAGGGAGCCACACAGGACAGAGCTCCAAAATCTGCACAAACTCTGATCAAATCCTTAACTAAACATTAAACCAAAAAGGCATATTGAGACTCCAGCATCCTATTGAAAAACAGCAGCCAAAAGGGCTAAAATAAATGAGCAAGGTTACAGAGAGTGCATAGAGCAGAAAAGATGGTGTTGTGAGGATGAGTCCAATCTATGAAAATTGCTATAAAATTAACTCTCTTTAGATGAAGATAATGGGATACAGAGTCTCTGAAAGATATCAACAATGTTATAATATTACATTCTCAATGATGTTACAATAGGTAGGATATAATAAAAAGGAAAGCAAAAAAAAACCAGACTAATTTGTCAAGAGAAAAGGTCATCAATAAAAAGTGACTCTGAGAGGACCCTGAAGTTGGACAAGGACTTTAAGGAAAAAATTATCATGAGGGAATAATTAATTCCAGCAAAGAAATGAAAAAAAAAATGAAACTAAAAAAATCTAAAATTCAAATTATAAAATTAAAACATATTAAATTTTAAAAATTGCTGTAAAGGCTTAATGGTGTATTAGAGACTTTAAAAGAAAGGACTGGTAAACTTGAAGATGAAATCAGTAGAAATTATTCAATCTGAAAGAGAGAAAAATATTTTAAAATATTTAAAACAGAGACCAAGGGACCTATTGGGAATGGTTAAGTATTGTAATATATGTATACTTTGAGTTTCAGAAAAGAGAGAGAGTAGTGAAGAAAAAAACATATTTGAAGAAATAATATCGAAAGTTTCCAAAATTTGTTGAAAAACCAGTTAGCTTAACTAATACAAAGTAGGTCAAATACAATAGAAAACTGCACTTAGGCATCCTAAAGAGAACCTGCTGAAAACCAAAGAGAGAAAATTTGAAAGCAGTCAAAGAGAACATATTACATATAGGGAAGGAACAATATGAAGGCACTGAGCCCTTATTAGAAGCAGTGAAGATCAGAACATAGTAAGATGATGTTTAAAAAATCCTGAATGAAAATAAAAACCTGTCAACCAATAATTATATGTCTAGCAAAAATATCCTTCAAGAACAAAGGTAAAATAGTCATTATCACATGAATGAAAACTAAGAAATGTATCACCAGCAAACTTGCTCTGTAATATATGCTAAAGGAAGCTCTTTAGGGTAAAGGGAAAAGATGTCAGACGGATACTGGATATACAAAAAAGAAGTAGTGGAGGGGCACCTGAGTGGCTCAGTCAGTTAAGCACCTGACTTCAGCTTATGGTTCGGGAATCTGAGCCCTGCGTTGGGCTCTGTGCTGACAGCTCAGAGCCTGAGCCTGCTTCAGATTCTGTGTCTCCCTCTCTCTCTGCCCCTCCCCTGCTCTCTCTCTCTCAAAAACAAATAAACATAAAAAAACAAAATAAGAAAAGTAGTGGAAATGTTAAACATTCAGATTTGATTTCTTTAAAAGACATATGGCTACTTCTTCCCTCAAAATTAAGTCTTAAAGCCTAAAGATATTAGTTAGAGCACAGCAAGGCAGTCATTTATGCAGAGGAGCAGGGATGTTAGCCCAAGTGGGATGAGCAGGGCAACTATGAAAAGGAGAGGGGAAATTGATAACATAGAGAGGGATTAATCAAATAAATATATATATGTAAAATAGTGGAAGCCACTGTCTAAGAAGGGAATCACAAATACAGAAGGAAAAGTAGAATTAACCTAGCTGATTTCCAGATCAAATATGGAACACTTTCAATATCAAAACAGATTATAGTAAAAGATAACCCACTAACAAATAACACACTAAATAAACCAGGAGCCCATTCTGATATAAAAAAATAATATGGGGCACCTGGGTGGCTCAGTTGCTTAAGCTTCTGACTTCAGCTCAGGTCATGATCTCATGGTTCGTGAGTCTGAGCCCCACATTGGGCTCTGTGCTGACAACTCAGAGCCTGGAGCCTGCTTCAGATTCTATGTCTCTGTCTCTCTCTGCCCCTCCCCTGCTCATGCTCTGTCTCTGTCTCTCTCAAAAAATAAATAATAAAACATAAAAAAGAAATAATTTGACAGCTTGATATAGAATATTTTTTCCACAAAATATTTATTTTTTATTTTTATTTTTTTAATATGAAATTTATTGTCAAATTGGTTTCCATACAACACCCAGTGCTCATCCCTACAGGTGCCCTCCTCAATACCCATCACCCACCCCCCCCTTCCCTCCCACCCCCTAT